TCATCTACCCAAATCTTATAAAAATTGCTTAGATCTATAACCAGTTACTTATTTTAGGCTTTTGATAGATATTGAATGGATACAAGCTCCTCTTCCATTCAAAGTGGAAATTAAATTTCCTTATCGTATTTGGATGAGGAGGAGGAAGTGGGAGGATTTTGCTTTTTTAAAAATAATATTGTAAAACATTTCATATTTGGACCGTCTAGGATTTGAAATGCTCCCTTTGACCTGGAAACAGCTGCCCAAAAGCAAAATGGGCTGCTTCGAACATTTCTGAAGTGTAACACCTCCGAAATGCTTGAAAAGTCCTGTTTTGAACCCGAAACCATTGATTTGGGATTCAGAATGTTTCGAATTTGAACATTTTGCACATGCTCCCTTTTTAAAAATTCTCTCTCCTTCCTTTACAGATTTATTTTTTCCAATAGAAACCTTGTTGCTTATGAGTGGCTAGTTCTGTTCGTACAAGTCACTTTCACGCATGAAGAGGGTTTGTCATCAAGAAAAAGGGGAAGAGGACGAAGGAAAGGCAAGAGTCCCTGGATCAAGGGTAGACAACTTGCTACTTTTCATGTTAAGCACAAGATACAGGTCTTCAGATCCAGACCAGCTTGGTTGAAGATGTAATTCAGTAGAATCTGAAGAGCACATGCTGGCTGTGGAATTCTGGGAGTCCACAAGTCGTAAAGTTGCCAAGGTTGGAGACCCCTGCTTTAGATCACAAACTAAAAACTCCCACAATCTCTTGCCACATTTTGATGAGATGTTGGCATCTTACAACATCCTGAGAGCTCTCCTCTGCCAAAGGAGGTTGCGGTGGGGATGACTTTTGCCTTCCTTAAGACAATTTTATGGATTAGCCCCCAAGGCCCATTCAGTTTGGCCATCTTAGGGATGTGCACTTGTTTCATGAACAAGCTTGGGTCTGGTCTACAGTACAACAGCACCCATGGGAAGCAATCAAGAGAAGCAAGATGGTGGGTAGGGCCTTTCACTGAGATGCCACATCTACTATCCAGCCTCTTTTGACTCCTTTGTTGTTACACTGACCATTATTGGGAGTGCACATTTTTTGCGAGGGAACCCCATTCTACTACAAAATTAAATATAAATTTCAGTGCAGTTAAAATTACTTTGTGAATAAACCTATGGGTTTTAAGGAATTACTATACCTGTCAAGGTAAAGCAATATCCTCTTATACAGGGCTCTCTAAAAGCTGGCAACTTTAGGAGTTGTGGACTTCAATTTGCAGAATTCCCCAACCAGCATGGCAGCTGAAGTCCATAAGTCTTAAAAGTTGCCAACTTTGAAGATCCCTGCTCTAGTGCGATATAATTTATTTGTCCAATAGATTTTCTTTCTCCCATATGCATTCTCTCCCCGCCCCGTCTAAAATCCCAACATGTCATTAATATCCAAGCAATTTAATGTGGAATACCAATGCTCCACACTCACAAATCAAGAAACACGCTTCGCTCCCCAATCAACCCTCATTTTAAAGCATTGTTGAAAAGACACAATCCTGAAACAAGCAAAGGAGAATTGAATTTACCTGAAAAGCATTTAAGTTTCTATTCCACAGCATCACACCTGGACTGCGCTTGACTGCATAATATAGAATATAAAAATCTTGCTCTTGGCAATTCTTCCCTTCTTCCTTTGCTGCTTATAATTCTATAACCACATTTTTCTCGGGCTACATGCATTTAAATGAAGACAGCAAAGGCTGAAGTACTGCCTCGGGTGAGAAATGTATTTTTAGCAGCAAGTTAATGCTTAAAGGCGTTGTGGTAAACATTCTATTGCTTTTTAAATAGTTTTCCATGAGAAGCGTATTTTCGGTATATTCATTGTGATTATTCGCTTCTCTACAGTAAGGTAACGGTCACCTGTGGTTGCCACTTCCCTTACTGGAGAAGTTTGCAGGGGGGTCCACAGAGGGGGCAGCAAAAGAAAAGAGACAGAGATGGATACACCACTGACACCACCCTCTTTTGACCCTTACCTCTTGTGGATGACCCTGCAAATTTGGAATGTACATGGATCGAGTCTCTGTGGAACCTGACTGCAGTCCAAAAGATTTCTTATTTGGAAGATGAACTTCACACACGATGGACAATATTTATTCTGATTTGGAAAGTGCAATAGGTAAAGTGCCTGTTTAAATCCTCCCAGCAAAGTTTCGAAGCTAGTGCATTAGGAAAGCTAATTTTTCCAAGGTAGCAGCAAAGCCTGGACTGAACAACCCTCTTTTAAATTCAAGCTGCTCCTAAAATACCTCTTTTTTCAAACTGAAGAATCAGAGAAGTGCCCGATGGAATATATACCATCTTTATAAATGACTTGCAAATAGGAAACTAGAGATCAGGAAGAGTGAGGGCCGACTGTTCTTCCTGACATGCTAGCTTTCTTAGATGCACTCTCGGCTTCCCAGCAGAAGGGATATATTCCAGGAACAATTTCTCCAAGATTAATTTCAGCACCCAGCATAGTCAGGCACATTGCCAGAGTCCTACAAAATCTCCCAATAAAAATTCTCTATGTTCCCTGGAGTGGCCTCATGCCAAAGCATTGCACACACACAAAAAAGTACAAGCTGGCAGGGCCCAAGCAGCTTCAGAAATGTGGTGCTTTTGCCCATCAAAACTTGCAAGGAAAGAGAAGAGATATCTCAGGAGAATCCATCAAACCTACTTTGCCCAACATCTCCTCTTCAACTATAAGCTGACCCTGAGTTTTACGCTTCATCTGAAAGGCTGCTTCAGTGGGACATTAACTTTGACATTTCAAAGGTCACAAAGAGTGGGTTCCCAACAAACTAAGTTAGCTGAATTTGGTCCCTCCTTTGAGATTTAACAACCAACCTGACCATGAAACTAGAGGGGACCTGAGTTGAACTACTTAGTCTTGCTCCAACCCAATGCACTGAGAGTTAAGGCAAGCCCTCACTAGATTGTTAAGCTATGTGTAGGCACATCATGTTTAGGTCAGTTTTGTGAAGTTATTTTTTTAAAGCAGTGCCCAAGAACCTCACTTTAATGTAGGCAGTGGTTATGTTATGGCATCTGACAATAACCAAAGTAATTTTCTTGTCTAATCCTTTCTCTTGATTCAAGTGGCATTCCTAAGCAAAATAATTTAATAGTATAGTGCCTTTAGAATTGAGTCATACTTTTGTACTGATGCTCTCCAACAGAGGTTATCAAATGGAACTACGTGTTGCAAAGCTATTTGCTATCATTAAAAAAAAAATTCCCTGGAAGTTTTGCCTAATACACAATTTGTTCATTTTCTATCACAGAGTAAGGCTCAAGGCTATATTCTTAAGACAGTGGTCACTGGATTCCTAAAAGTGACCCGGGAAAAGTAATGGTATGTTAGATGGCTCATCTGCTCTTTCAGAGACCATGCAAGAGGTATTAGCATCCCAAGAACATATAGACATGCCTAAAACCCTTCTGTCTACTACCATGCAAGGGTCCTCTAGAAAAGACTTTCCATGTCAAACTGTAAGAGGCTACTCTTAAAATAAAAGAACTGCCCTTCTGTCCAAATAACATAAAGACTTCCTTCTAGCAAGAGAGTACGTCCATTGAGATGTAACCAAACCTATCCCTACACATGCCAATTTCTACATGCAAACACTTTGTTTTGAGCATGCCACATTCCATCAAAAGGTTCTCAACTTATGGCCTTAATAAGTGCAAGACAATTTCTCCATCATGGTGAGAATTAGGCCAAGGTTCTAGGCAGTCTTCTCCCAACCGGTATTCTTGTGATGTGTTGGAATATGTCTACAATCACTCAATAGCAAGCATGCTGCTGGAGAGTGATGGGACCCATAGCATAACACATCAGGAGAACAGTGGGGTGAGGAAGATGGATCTTGAGCATAATTTGTTATGCCAATGACAATTCTAGGGCTAAGCTCTTGCTGTATGTTAAAATGGAAAGTGGGGAAGGAATTCTCCACAGGCACTAAAACTCTCGCAATGCAAAGACAGCAGCACATTTCCCAAGTTGTTGGTGTATCAAGGTTCCAGAACAACAACTTGGACATCACTTTATAGTGTCATCTTACCCAACCTCTAGACATTGCAGGGTAGTTTAAGGGGAAAAAAGATAAATATCTAATATTTGGCTAAGTGCCTTTTTTTGAGGAAGACCTGAAGGGGAGGATCTAGTTGGTAGAAAAATTGAAGACTTAGCTGTTTGTTGGCTCAGTTCTCAGGCTAGCAAAAACGTTTTGTTTCTTCCCTTAATTGGAAAGGCTGGGACAACACTCAAAAGTGAGAAAAATAAACCTTGCTGCACTGAGATTCAGAGTCTAGATAGGACACTGATATTTGCCTAGGAACCAGTACCATTCGTATCAATGGTCCAATGAGATCTACAGAATACATCTTTTTCTTTCTACTTTTCTTTTGTTTTAGACTCCCCATTCTTGTCTTCCACTTAGGATAAGCAGAACTATATCTACACTACCTGACTGTCAAGTTGCTTGAGCTACAGTACAAGGAAAGTTTGGTGTTTGCTGAAGTGCTCTTACAATCACTTTCAAGGAAAGCTTATATTCATTTGATCTGTTGGGGCAGATCAAGGGATCTATCCTTCCATAATGAGATGGAGCTTTTATACAGTCCTAACCAGAATTCTATTTTCATACAGTTTGTTTGAAGGGTGAGGCAGGACCAGGGGATGAGAAATAAAAACTCTATAGCCAATGACCAGGGACCAATCTATACTTCCATAGAAACATGGAAAACCAATTACTTGTGACTGTACCACTTCAGAATATATTATGATTAATGGCAGAGGAGAAGAAGTAGATGTCAACTATTCCTTCCCAATTAAAGGAGGTCCTCATAAAATATTGTACACTGTTGAAAGAACTATTTATGCATGACTACATTTGCAATATTAAGCTTTAAATAGGCAGTTTTCCCCACCTCAAGCTTTAAGTCGTACAGTCCCAGGAAAACTACGCCATGTCCTTTTTGTCTGTTTGTTTGTATAGATTGGCTAAATGTCCTTAGAAGTCAGTTACAGTACATTTCTGGTGTATTGTGAATGCAAAAGAAAAAAAAAGAGCAATTTCTTAGTTTGGTACAACTGGGATTTTCTACTCATTCAATGGCACATTACACGCTTTCTGAAGAATCACGCTTCGCGTAGGCTGGTGAAGGTCCCTCCCCCTGGAGATTCCTCAAATAGATTTTTAACTTTTGAGGCTCCGAGATGCGTCTCCGATTGAAGTCTGCTCTTGGATGAATCTGGGCGCAGCGATCGGTCTGCAGGAGATGGAACAGGCTGGCCATGTTTGGTCCAATTTTGGCCATCAAACTGTCTTTAATGGTCCCGACAATTTCTTCCCCACATTCCAACAAACTTCTCATAAGTTTGCTGTAATACCTGCATAAAGACAATATTGATTAGTACTCAAGAGGCTTCATAGAATTCAGGACCATTCAGAAGCCAGTATTTAGAACGTCTGTGGAGATTCCCAATCATCCAGATCAGGGGTCTCCAACCTTAGCAACTTTAAGCCTGGAGGACTTCAAAGCTTTGCTGGCTAGGGAATTCTGGGAGTTGAAGTCCTCCAAGCTTAAAGTTGCTAAGGTTGGAGATCCCTGATCAAGATCATGGTTGTTCCGGAGGTGCTTTTTCAAAAAGGCAACTGGACTCCATTTCAACCTATTTTGCACAGCCCAAATGCAATCTTTGGTGAGAATACACCTCAACCATGGCCCATTATAGGATCAGCTCTATCAATAGGTAGCAAAAGGAGGAAGTTCCAAGAAGGTTCTTGGATGAGAAGCAAAATGTCATTCAAGGAAAAAAAGAAAGCCCAGTTGCCTTTGGAAAGAAAGCACCTCTGGGTCTCCTAATGGGACCTCCACATTTGTCCATTAAAAAGCACAAATGAACCACATTAAACTGCCCCCCCTCCCTGCCAACTATTCAGATCAAATCCATGAGCCAGGTATCTGACCAGAACACAGCATCTCCTGAGCTTACCAATGGCATCGTTTTTAAAAATCCACCTCAACCTGAAAGCAGCTGTGCAGTCCCTTCTGTGACAAAGAAAGAGCCTTAATCAAGTAGAGGCCCTTTCCCTACCCAGCAACTGCCTGAAGTCACATCGGAATGACATAGCAACATGGGGAAGGCTAATCCGGTGCATTGTTCCCATAGATCTGCCTCAGAGGCCTTGGGAAGTCAGCTCCTCCAAGGATCCAGACGCTGGCGTCTTAAAAATCTGAAATATTTTTTCCAGCCCTATAATAACCGCTCCAGACATGCAAGTCATATTTTCATTTGCAGAGAGGAAATTTGTGCAAGCACGGGCTAAGAACCTGTTTTTAGTGTTGCACATGTCAATTTTCGAAGGTGGAATGAGAAAAGCGAAGGGACTCCAGGTTTAAATCCCATTAGATTCTCATCCACTTTGCTCTTTCACTGAGGGACTAGCAAAAGAAGCACCAGCGGCCTTTATTAAATTGGTCAAGTCAAGAATGCTCTCTGTCATTTTAACCTAAGGGGTGGCTGCTGGAGGTGAAACCAACAAAAGACTTCCAGATTTTACTCATCCGGAGTCAATTAACTTGAAATGGCATAACATTGAAGAGATGGAGCTAAAGCTTAGGAAATTGCTTGCCCTCAGCCACAAAATCTTCCCCTTTTCAATTCCTCTGAAGTATAGAGGAAATGCAGGAGGACCCAGTGTGTTGTAATTGTTATGGTGGGCCTACACTTCAAATCCATTCTTGGCCAGGAAAGAACACTGAGTGCCATGGGGATTCAAATGGAATTGAAATCTTGGAGAAAAGGGAAATCTAAATTTAGATTATAACTGTAGACCAATCCTCTGAGCACTCAAGAGGGCTAAACAAATACAAAAGATATAAACGACTGATAATAATAATTCATATCATTTTCTTCTACTCTCTCTTCCTGGAAAACGTGCAAGAAAAGAGGAGAGCAAAATGGGATCGGGGTGGGCGGACTCAGTTACAGTGGCTATGGGGGCACTACTGAAAGACCAAGTTTGGACAGATCAAATGCTCTTTTAACATACCACTATTTTAATGTACTGTCATTGTCAAAGTTATTAAGATTCAAACCAACTGATTGATAAGATACTATCAAATTCTTTTAGAGATTATAAGTCAGTGCCACTGATTGGCTTCCAGGAAGTGAAAATAATATAAAATATAGCAAAAATTCTAAAGTATTCAAAAATTCAACAATCCAGTAGGGATCCCTCTATTCAACGGTAGCAGTAGAAGATCCTGATACCACCTACAGATGCTTCTAAGCAGGAAGGCTATGACTGAATGTAATTAAATTGAAATCATTATCCTTCATGATTTCTCAAAATTATATGCAATGACTTACGGTATTTTTAAAATTTATAAGTGCCATAGATATTTTACTAGATGTATCCTCTGAACTGCTGAAAGCTATATTTGGATTACAGTGGGATATAAATGGAAAGAATAAATGAATGAACAAACCAATAGCCTACCCTTCACCATGGAAAATTACTGAATGCCTTGGCCACGGACTCTCTCTTGGCTCAATTTACCTCACAGGGTTGTTTGGAGGATAAAACAAAAGGGAATTCCCTCAGCTCTTCAAGGAGAGGCAAGATATTCTATTAAGCAAACTGATAAAGAAATAGCAAATATTCTTGCTATCTTGGAAATAGTGCTATAGCCTAAAATAGGCTTCATGCATTTTTAAAAATAGAAGAAAACTCTTTAGCTCCCTACCCAAATTGAAGGAGAGAACACGAAAATAACAGGGCTGGAGGCCTTCTAGCCCAATCCCGTGCTCAAAGTAGGAGGTTTTATAACATCCCAGTCAAATGGTTGCCCAGTCTATTTTTGAAAACCTCCAATGAAGCCTGCAGGAGGCAAGCTATTCAAGTGTTTGTTAATTAATATATTAATTAATTAATAGATCCATTAGTGGGACGCAGTTCTATTCTATCTATAGTTCTGAACCATTCACTTCTAGTTTTGCCCTCCCTAAATGCTGTCAGCGCCAATAATCTTACCCACAGAGATATGAAAGGATATGGAGAATCCACAATCTGATTTTTTCCTTCCCTCGGGGGATGAGTGGAAAATTCTTTTGCTTCACTGTGGATTTACCCAATTCAAAAGTCCTGAATAGTCCCACCTCATACAGCCTGACCATTTCCTATATCTAAGTGTACGCTTCTGGGCCATTAGGGGGCCATTCACCTTGGCTGTAGGATTTCAATTCAGAAAAACCACCATCCAAACCAAGTGTGAAAATTATCTTTTGGTTGTTGTTGTTTTTTTTTTTAAAAAAACTCTCTTGAGAAAGGCAATCTTTTAGGATTAATATCAATATATGAACCTTAAACCTTGCTTCCTGTATTATAAATGTCACTTCAGGCTAAACCAGAGGAAGATGTGCTGACTTTTTAATGATTTCCTGCTCGGCTCAATCACCAACTTAGCCATTCTTAGTTTCTTTGAAGGGGTGTGGGAAGTGTCAACTTACTCACTAGGAAATCCTGTTGGGCTTATTTCTAGCTTGTAGTATTAGCCTTTTATTTCAGTCACTAAAACAAAAAACAAACAAACAAAAAAAAATACCAAACCCCACATGTTTCAAGAACACCCTGTGACTGTGTGGTGGCCATTCTTTCAATAATGTTTTCAGGAAAAATAGAACAAGTCTAATGTTTGTGTTTTGTTCTGTGGTACGCAGCAATCACCATGTTTTCATAAGCCACTCATAAGGGGGTCACAAAAGTCAATATAATGCCAGCAATCATGTGACTGAAGTCTTGCTTTTCATATGCAGTACACAGAAAAAAGGGCAAAATTTTGATGGCACAATTCCTACCACCCCCTTAAACTTTTTTCATCCCCCAAGGACACTTCGGACTGTCCGTCCCTTTCCTTCCCTTCCCTCAGCCAGCCCAAAGCTGGCTTTGTTTCTTATCCAGCTGATAAATCAGGACTACCAAACCAAGATTTCCCAACCAACAGACCACTGCTGCATGTGATTCTTTCTCTGGGAGGGGGGGAGGTTTCACACACAGCAGCCTTTTTCAATTTGACCGAGATTAAACCCAGGCCTGAATTTTATCCCTCAGCAGTTGGCTCTCTTAGTTTCTTTCTAAGGTTACAATTTAAAGAGAGAGGGAGATCCAACTCTCTTCGTTCTTTGATGCTCTGAGAATCCCCCAATAATTCATGCAGGACATAGGCTGCTGTGAAAAGCTGCAGTCTTGAGGTACAACTTGCCACACTCTGTGCACACTGTTTAATCCCACTAAATAGTAGCTGTGGCTTTCCTCGTAGCTTCCCATGGGTTGATTCATTGACTGACAAATTGACAAATGCACAGGGCTGCCTTCTCTCTGGCCACCAAGTGACGAGATAAACCAGTCAGGAAAAGCAGGCTATATACTTAAATAAACTACAATAAACAAACACAGAATATATTCACTTGTAGAGATGATCTGCCTCTCACAAAAGGAACCAGTTTGGTCTAATGGTTAAGGCCCCAAGCTAGAAAGTGGGAGACCGTGGGTTCAAGCCCCACCTTAGTCATGAAAGCCAGCTGGGTGACTTTAAGCCACTCCCTGTCTCTTAGCCCAACGCACCTCAAAGGGTTGTTGTTGTTTTTGTGGGGAAAGTATGAAGTGTGTTGGATATGTTTGCCACTTTGACTTAATTCAAGTTCAAGTTCAAACCTTTATTGACAATGCACAACATGTGTACAATGAAATTGAATTGGCCTCCATTGGTGCAGCCCACACAAAAACAGAATACATCTCAAAAAACACAGAATACATTTCAGTTTCATTGTACACATGTTGTGCATTGACAATAAAGGTTTGAACTTATTTGCAAAAATAGTAAAGGTAGGATGCAAATGAACCAACAAATAAAATATTGTTGGCCAGGGACTTGAACATCCCCCAGTCGATTTAACTGTTCCTTTAAATGAGTATCAAACCTACCTGTTTGAGAATTGGTTTGGGAGTTGGACCACTTCTGTGATGGCTTCTGGATTCCTTTTTGCAACACCACAGATGTCCAGCTTGCTATAACATTCTTCCTGCACTTCAGAAATCATACGCTGGAATGCGGAACATCGGCGAATGGCCAGGAACACCTTGGATGTGACACCGTTGGCAATGCATTTCAGACTCTCCTTTACAAAGGCCTTCCCCTGCCACAAGGAGGAAAGGAACATGTAAGGAACTAGGTTAAAACCCATGGGACAGCAATTGAGCACTGGTGGATGCTACCTAGTTTGGGCAATGAAACGTCTGCAGGAAAACAATCAAGCTCAGAGAGCACCAAGGACCCCTCACATCAATTTTTGTCGTGAGTTTCAAATTCCCACCATTATTCCTCAGAGTTGTTCCTGAATTGTTCTGCATTGTTCCAAAGGATAACTGGAAAATAGCTGGATCTCAGGATAATTTACTGCCTCTAAGAGTTGTTCAACAATGGAGTAGAAAGAATTGGGAGCTTCCCCTTTTGCTTGAAAAATGATGATCTGTTGGGAATGCCTAAAGGCAGGAATCTTAATCATGATTCCCAAAGACCCATTCAGGGCTTATAGTCTATACACTCTAAATAATGGGTCTCCAAACTTGACAGCTTTAAGACTTGTGGACTTCAACTCCCAGAATTCCTCTTCCAGTCATGTTAGCTCAGGAATTCTGGGAGTTGAAGTCCACAAGTCTTAAAACTTGCCAAGTTTGAAGACCGTTGCTCTAAATAGAGTAAATAACAGTGCATAAAACTGATTAAATTATAAATGCACGCGAGGTTTACTTTCAACACGAGGCCATGCTCACATTCTATTTATAAAATATACCTTTTTATTATACTAATAATAATCCCAGAGCAGAAGTCAGTGGTGGATTTCCTTATGAAAAAAGCTTGATTTATTCATATTGTTGACACAAGAATCTTTCTGGGCAAGGAGCTTCCTGTGGCCAGGAAATATCAAGCAACAGAATGAACTCATCCAGTCTTCTCCTATATTTGATTCTTTCCCAATATATACGTGTCCCAGGATAATGTTGCGGGATCCAATCAGAGTTGGTCACCAGGCCCAGAGATTTAGTCTTCCAAGCTTTGGGACTCGTGCTAGAACCCATCTTCAGGCACTTCTCTATGTGTGCACACAGATACGTTCCCTGAGTGAAGATGGCCTCCAGTAGGAGTCTGAAAGCTCAGAAGACTAAATCTTCCCAGATGGTTTGGACTTTTAACAAGCCAGCACGACACTGAAGCAGAGGTGGTAGTCAGTCGGTTCTGACCGGTTCTGGAAAACTGGTAGCAGAAATTTTGAGTAGCTTGGAGAACCAGCAAATACCACCTCTGACTGGCCCCGCCCCTATCTATTCTCTGCCTCCGGAGTCCCAGCTGATCGGCTGGGTCTTCTTTTATCGCCCTGCACAAGAGAACGGAGCTGGAAAGCAGTTTAGTGGGGTGGGGAGGGAATGGGGGTTTTACAGTATCCTTCCCCTGTCACGCCCACTAAGCCATGCCACACCCGCCAAGACATGGCCACAGAACCGGTAGTAAAATTTTTTTGAATCCCACCACTAAGAATTCATTGGACCTGGAAGACACCAGGTTTGGGAAAGCTAGTTTAGGAGCTGTAGCTTCACCATTTGCAAGTCTAGTCCTCTATGTCATGGGTGGGCAGACAAGGAGACTTCATCCAATAAAGGACCTGTAGATAGTTTGCTGAAGTTCAGCAAGGTTTGATCATAACTTCCCAACAGAAACTTTCAACTCTCTTTAAATGATTTATGAAAGGTCAACCATTATTTCATTTTCTACTCTTATTGTTCCTCATTTACCAAGATAGGCATATTTGGATAGGCTGGTTTCACTTCAGCTAGAAGCCAGAGTTTATTAATCATGATGTTTAACCAAAATTAGATAAGCTCTCCTTACCAAAATACATGAAGCTAACAGTAGCAAATAAGTTTGCCACAGCTGTTATTCAAACAAGGAATGGAGAAACAGTGGATTCGTGTCAATTAACATGATGTACCAAGTATCTCATGTCTATTTTAGTATCAGAAAATCCTATGTTGAGGAATGACAGTTATTCTGAAGGCTGGTGTGTTAATGTTCTATTTTTCATTAACATCAATTGTTTGCAGCCTCCCACACTTAAGTCACAAGGGAAGGAACCTCAGACCAGTTCCAAAATCAGGAGCAGCCAGGGACACTGCAGAGGGAGTGAAAAATATCGCTCCCTTTGTCAACTCACAACCCTAAAGTAAGCTGAAAACACCCCCCAAACAAAATTCTGAAGCTCTCTGGGAATGAAGTAGAAAAATGAAAGCCCCTTTTGAGATGTTTCGGCAGAATGGAATGGACATTGCTGGAATTCTCCAGATGAAGAGCGATACTTCCTAATGGCATTCAAGAGCTTCTTCCAAGCCTGAGTTGTTGGAAGAATCTAAGAGTGCTTAGATCAGCCAGAAGAAATGCAATAGTTATAGTTTGGAAGTCTTCCTTTATTGCAATGCCGAGTTTGCTTCTCAACAAAAGGCTGTTATTGCCATGACCAATGATCAGTGGCCCAGATTTTCAATAGCAGAACAAATGTGTACATGGGACAATGAGGAAGTTGCAAATATCTCCCATGTCTTTTATTGCGCTGCAAGTTCTACTGGGACATCCGATCAATGTACAATTCTCCCTCTATTAGAGAGATTTCTAGGGAGTTCAGATAATTTTTATGTGAACCATCTTCTTCTCCAAGATTCATATCAGTAGCAAAATTTTGTACTGCTGCAGTGAGAATAAGGAAAAACCAATTAAAGAACTAGAGATCTTTACTTTTAATCAACATTTTCCTCGGTTATTTTCCAGTAACTTTTAGAGGCCATATATTTCAATGTATACTTTTATTATATATTTGATTAATTAGTATTAGATCAATAAAAATAGTATTATTTCAATAGGAGTGTTTAGAATGTACTATATTTATTTTACAGTTGCCGGTATAAAATTGTACCCACTTCTCTCTGTTGATCCTGATTGTAATTGCTATCTTTTATCTCTCTTTTTATTACTTTATATTGCTGGTCATTGACCTGTCAATTTCGGTGGCCTAGGTTGTCTCCTGGAGAAGGCAAGGTCCAGATTGTTCTAAAACTCCTGGTCACCTGCATGAAGGGGACTCATATCAGGCACAACTGGAACATATATAGCTTTCCAACTTGGGAAAAATTCAGTCTCCTTGCCAACTCCAAGAACGGGGAAAACACATTTGTTTCCTCTTGAAAAAGAAAACTTCCTTTTCCACCCCACAAGGTGTCTTCTGCCAAGGCTTTACACAGAAGCTTGTGGGAAAAAGTGTACAGACAGAAAAGAGAACCCTCATCCCGACTTGCTGTTCCCATTATGCTTTGAACTAAGGCCACTGTGGGCTTTCCCAGATGATAGCAGTACTAACTTTTAGCTAGGCCAGGGGTGTCAAACTCGATTTTATTAAGGGCCCCATCATGGTTGTTTGATGTGGGGGGGAGGCTGGGGGGGGAGGCAAGGCCAGAGTCAGGCCAGCTTGACTTCACTCATGTTGGGGATGCCTGCGCTGGCCTGAGTGCTCTACCAGCAAAAACGGACTCCCGATCTCCGTTTTCAGCTGGGACGGCCTCCTGCAACCCTCTGCCAGCGAAAATGGAGCTCGGAGCTCCATTTTTACTGGCAAAGGATTGCCAGAGGCCATCCCAGCCAAAAACGGAGATCGGGAGCCCGTTTTTGCTGGCAGAGGCATCACGGGCTGGTCTATCACTGTTAGAGCGGCCCCGCGGCCCATATCTAAGCACCCCGCGGGCCTTGAGTTTGACACAACCTGAGGTAGGCTATTTCCAGCTGCCTAAAGACCTCTTTTTAACAGAATGGAATTGCAGAACTGGAAAGAACCCAAAAAATAATTTGCAGAAGTCGAACCATCTTGCAATAAATAGGGGGAAATCATTTAAAACATTTATGGGAGGTCAAACGTCTTTAAAAAGATTAGAGATGAATCCACAACCCATCATTAGATAAGACTATTCTATCATTGTACACTTCTTACTGTCAGAAATGGTTTATGACCATGTTTTCTGTAATTTCCTTCCATGGATAAGGGATGATTCAGTGTCATTCTGAATACCCCTAATTGAACATTCTGGCTTCGAGACATAACCAAAGATATTTTCTCATCTGACCATGCCACAAAGAGATACGAGTTGTATCACCCCACGTCACCATCATTTGCATTCACAAACTCTTCAGTCAGCAGCATTTGCTGCAGCTATCAAAATCAACTAAAAGAGAAAGATAGCTAAAACGGCTAATTATTCTTGGGTGTGAACATGGTCCTCATATTAATAGCAATTTCACTTAATTATATACCATTTCACAGTGCTTTACAGCCCTTTCCAAATGGTATACTGATATATTTGATTCAGAATAAGATAAACTGATATATTTCATTCAGAATATTGTCCCCAACAATCATTAATAACTTTGCTTAATTTCACCCCCCCCCCAAAAAAAGTCTTACCATGGAAAGGTAAATATTGCCAGGCAACTTAATAATAGGCCTTAAAAGAACATCTTCTCTTCCCCTCTAAATTTTGATCATACAACCATCAGATGTATTAACTAGAAGTCTGCAAAGCATCCCAGACTGTTTTAACACCAGAATGAGCTATTCTAACCATGGAAGTGTCTGTCCTAAAGGCGCTTTTTCAACTTTGTTTTTCCTTGAAGATATTTTGTTTTTCATCCAAGAAGCTTCTTCAGTTCAGAAATGAAGAAGCTTCTTGGATGAGAAGCAAAACGTCTTTTACAAAAAACAAAGTGCAGTTGCCTTTTGAGAAAGCACATTTGGGACAATCATGACCTGGATGACTGAGAATCAGAGGTGGTATTCAACAGGTTCTGACCAGTTCTGGAGAACTGGTAGCGGAAATTTTGAGTAGTTCAGAGAACTGGCCAATACCACCTTGGACTGACCCCACCAACCCCATCTATTCTCTGCCTCACGAGTCCCAGCTGATCAGCTGGGTCTCCTTTTGTTGCCCCACACAGGAGAACGGAGCTGGAAAGCAGGTTAGTAGGATGGGGACGGAATAGGGGTTTTGCAGTATCCTTCCCTTGCCATGCCCACCAAGCTACACCCACCCAGCCACGCCCACAGAACCAGTAGTAAAAAAATTTGAATCCCATCACTGCTGAGAATCTCCATAGACATGGAAATGTCGGTTTTGAGTGGCTCAGACATGGTCCAGCAAAGCTCTTGTGGTTTCCTTATCATTCTCACGGGTTTAAACCAAGCCAAAAAACATATTTTTTTCTTTATTATTGTGATAGTGATGCTTTTTGGGGGCCAGCATTTCCATGAAAGCAAACTTCAGGGTTGACATATAGCATATCTAATATCATATGGAAACGGTAATATTCATTCCTTTTCCTGTTTTTCAAGATTTTGATACTACTGGCTGGCTGTGACAAATAAGAAGGTATCAAGTTTTGATGTTTCAACAGGTTGAAACAAAACCTTTGCAAAGCCAACACAGGAGGCAATAATGTTATATAAACCAATTTTAACTTTTGAAAGAATCAGTCCAAAAAGACTGGACAACTATAGCATAACACCTTATAAGTTACATTGGTGTTGAATATCACCTACAAAATACTTTTGAGTTTTCTCTAATTTTGAGGAAAATTGATTTCAATGGTTTTCTATGTCAGTTGGGTAACCATCAAAAGGAAAGGGATTCTTAGAACAGCTACTTTGCCATAGTGTGTAAAGGCCCTGGGCGAGAAACGGGAAGGAAGTTTTAATCCTACTTTGGGCCTGAAGCCAACAGGGTGACTTCAGGCCAGTCATTCTATCTGAACTCTGGAGAACGCTTTTATATTTGATTTTATATATTCTTTTTTCAGCCTATTTCTTGTTATGTTCTCTGTTAGAACGTTGCACATTTTTGACATTACCCATTTATCCCCATTAGAGGATGAATTTGCCTAATTTCCAATTTACTCCAGGCTCTAGTTGCTTTTGTTCTAATGGCTAGAACTGCAGTTAAAAAAAAAAAAGATAAACTGATATATTTGAAACCACGAATAAGCAACATTTCTTAAACTTGTTTTCTGATAGGTCTCCCATTTTTGGAGTCTTGCAAATGTGTATAGCTCTTTTAAATATGAAAGTCCTCTCATTTTCCAGCCCTCCTGCTATTACTTTTCATTTTCAGAATAAAAAGACAAGTTGAAAAATAAAGAGTCAACTAGGTGATGGGTGTGGAAATTAATTTAAGGGCTCATCCTTCTCAAATATTGAGCAGGTTTGGAAGAAACGGATTCTGATCAATTTCCAGTTGAGGGGTCCTTGGTGTTCTCTGAGCTTGGTTGTTTTCTTGCAGATGTTTCATTACCCAAACTAGACAAGCTCATCAGAACACTGATAATGTTAGCTAGTTTGGGTAATGAAGTGCCTGCAAAAAAACAACTAAGCTCAGAGAACACCAAAGAGCTGAAGAAACTTCTTGGATGAGAAGCGAAAGGTCTTCAAAGAAAAACAAGAACATCCAGTTGCCTCTTTAAAAAGCACCTTTAGGACAGCTATGACCTGAAGGACTGAGAATCTCCATAGACATCTACAAGAAAACATAAGCTCAGAGAGCACCAAGGACCCGCTATTTCAATCCTCAGCTATAAATATTCTCCTTTATTGGTAGCTTCTAGTTCTTGATTATTTTAAGAAAGTGCCCTAATTTTCACTAATAGTATATTTATACTCCTTTAACCAAAGTGTTAATTCTTCCAACCTTTTAAAAAATGTTATTGATGATGATCATAAAAAGATTTAATGTTTCAAATTCTGAGGCTTCTAATGATATCCTTGAAAAGAATTTTTGAATATACTCTTGCTTTTTTTGCCAATATGTATAAATGTTGTCTAAATTCAGCTACTTTGTTGAGTTTAGCCCCTCTGATGCCACTCAAAAGTGTCCTTTGCTTTGAAAAAGGCCAGGTCTTCCTGCAATGCTGCCACTGCTTTCATACCAAAGTTCACCTGTCCTTGCTAATGATATTTTGAACACTTTTCTTATTTCAATGGCAGGACCATGATTTGGATTGAAAAACAGCTGTAACTATTAGATCTTTGTGATTATGGACAAATTCACTTAGCTCTTAGACATTTTAGACTTTAAAAAAAAATTAGGCAATACGATCTGGAAGCACATGGAACTTGGGAGATCATGCATGCTTCTGCAATTTAATATTTCTTCTAGCATGTAAAAATGAAGTAGAGCAAAGCTATTTCATAAATATAAAAAAAGGGTAATGCAGGATCCAATCTAGGCCAGTCACTGGGACTTAGAAGTTTTGTGTTCCAAGCTTTTGGGCTGGTGCTGGAGTCCACCTTCAAGGAATTTCTCTCTAGCAGTGTGTGTGCTGTTCTGTGTGGTGTTAATATGGGGCCTGTTGTATGTGGCTTTTTAGATGCAGATTGGGGTGTGTGTTGATGGCTGGCTTTTAAGTCGTTGGCTGTTGTGTTTGTGCTGCCCAGGCCTTGCCTTCTAATTACTTAATAAGCTAAGGTAAAATGGATAATGGAACAGACATTCCCAGTCATGATCTTCACCAGTCACATGTATTTTACCTAATTAAGTTTGCACTGGAAGAAAAAAATACTGCTTGAAATGACAGACTGCAAGTTCAATGCACTGTGGGTGTTAGCAGATGTTGTATAATTTTATCACAACCATTTCTACCCTTTGACCATATGATACCAGCTGTCAATCCTGAAGTGAACTTGGCTGAGGCCATCTTGGAGGGTTCAGGCTTGCCACAACAACAGGGGGGAGGAATAGTTAGATGGGATTTTGTAGCTAAATCAACGAAGATTTCCTGTGGGAACCAAGGACATTCTGACAGGTGGCTGGCCAGAGGAGGAGTGAAGTAACCAAGCAACCAGCCAGCAACTGGATTGGACAGCATGGCCAGTGACCTGGGGTGAAGGGGAGACTTTTACTTTTCAGTTAGGTGAAAACCACAGGAACTTTCAGAGTCGGCTTTCACCAGTTGTGACAACATGATATATCCAGTAAAACTGTTCTTTTGAGGAATTTGCCTGCCTCGGAGTTCTACTTTCTATGGGTGCATTACTTGGCACCCTGATATCAGCCTTTGAAAGCATTGAGTTGGCAAGCTGTAACAACCAACTTAAAGAGTTAACGTGCACCTGAAAAAAAAAAAAGTCCAAATTGCACTGGTGAGTTAAGGAGAGCATCTAGGTCATTTTCTTGGCAGCCATATGGAAATGGCTTCTTCTAAAATGGTGGGATTTTTTTTAACTCACTTGAATCTATAGTTTTTGTAGTGCTCCATGTAAGTACCAACTGGGTCTGAACCTGGTTCAGCTTCACAGACTCTTCCCCCATGGTTACCCAGAGGTTGTCACCTATACATGTCTCAATGAACCATCCCAACATCAATGAACTGGTGCAGTAAGATCCATGGCAGAAGGAACCCATCCATGGTCCTAAGTTCATGATCTGAAACCGGGCCTTCAAAAAAAGCAATGTTTTACTGCAGCTGGTTTCAATAACTGAAGGCATGCTGGTTCATACAAAAATTTGTAGATAGAACTAGACTTTCCTATGGGTTATTTTTGCTTTAAAATGAATGTTGCAGGATTCCTGTTCTCTTATATAATGATCAACAGTTTTATTGATTATGCTGTTGATTCTTTCTCACTTTACTTCCTTCAGATGCAAAAAAAGAGATAAGGTTACTAGTGCAATTATTAACTTATTGCTCAATCAAATCCTTTTTAAAAAATATAAAATGCAATCAATGAAAGACCGTAGACTTAGATATAAGAATCACAGTTATGGTATCCCTATGTTAACCATACCAAGCAGCTTCTCAGTCATAGATGTCTACACCTGCAACCAAACTCAAAATCTTTACAGGTAGTCCTCAACACATTTGTTTAATGACCAAAATTATCACAGTGCTGAAAAAAAATGTAACTTGTAGACAGTCCTTGCACTTATGACTGTGACAGAAGGTCATGTGATCAAAATTCCTGCATTTACAATGGTTGGAGCATCCCAGGGTCTCATGTGATAATCCTTTGTTACCTTCCTGGCCAATTTTTGAAATGTTTCACTTAACCACGGTGATGTATTTAACAGCCCCCAGCAAAAAAGATTGCAAAATTGGGTGCGACCCACTTGGCAACCATTTCACTTAGCAACGGATGTTCTGGTTCCCATTGGGGTTGTAAGTTGAAGACTACATATCCATTTGTAGGATGTTGCTCATTTGTCTATGCTCCTTGGATTTCTTTTTCCACATCTAAATCTTTTTCAGCCCTGAGAAGAAATGCTAGGGATGAAGTTTAAGGTCTTTTGCATACAAAAAGAGGTGCCCTATTTTATATGCCATTAAATTTCATATATTCACGAGCCAAAAAGCTCCTTCTTGGCCTATCAGAAACCCTGATGCACATAAAAAGGATATTATTCAAATCTGTACCGTACCTGAGTGTCAAATTTAGCAGCGCTGTAGAGGAAAGATTTGCAGATGTCATACATGCCACCTGTGTCACACGAAGAGTTTTCCAGACAGGCAAAAGCCCCACATCCTACTTGGAGGGCACTATTTAGACATCGAACCACATCCACTGCAAAGAAAAGGGTGGACAAGACATAGAAAACATCTTAGCACAAGTTTCTATCACACTTGATTCAAAACCATAGCAGCTTTCAGCTTAGCTGGTAGAAGGTATCGGTCACACTTGCTGAGTCATGTTTTACTTCCAGATAGCTCTCCTCGACACATCACCCTTAGTAAGGGATTCATTGCATTTTCAGCCACAACACTCAACTTTCAGGGTCTCAGCGGAGCCCAGTTGTTGCCCTGGAAGATTTTGTTTCAAGAAAAAAAATGGTCTCCTACTACGGTAGAAAATGGGAGTTGTTTTGAGGATCAACCATGCTGTAAGACTTCAAGGGAAAGGCACTTCTAATGCTGGTGCTACATGGCTGCGCATGAATAATGTTTCAAAGGTGCTTTTTTTCAGGAGGCAACTGGACTTTCTGTTTTTTCTTTGAAGATGTTTCATTTTTCATCCAAGAAGCTTCTTCAGCTCTGACTGGATGGTGGGGAATGGAAGGATTTATCCTCCTTGCAATCAGCTGGTCATTTGCATTCCTTTAGCGGGTCATTAAGGTGACCTGGAGGTTTATCTGTGCCCTCGGGGTCACCTGAGTGGTGCAAATAGGTGTGGAGCCTTCTTGGAACTGTTAAAAGGACTGTGTTATAAATTGGAGATAGATGATGCCATATCCCTCCCCCTCGGTTGAAAGAGGGCTGTTCAATTTTGATATAAATGGCCTCTTTGGGCCTCCAATTTTGACATCAATGGCCTCTTCGACCCGCTAAAGAATGCAAATGACCAGTTGTCTGCAAGGAGTATAAACCCTTCCATTCCCCACCATCCAGTCAGAGCTGAAGAAGCTTCTTGGATGAGAAGTGAAATGTCTTCAAAGAAAAACCAGAAAGTCCAGTTGCCTCTTGAAAAAAGCAACTCTGGGACAACCATGACCTGGAGGACTGAGAATCTCCATAGACGTCCATGAATAATGTTCTTCTCTTCCTATTACAAGACTAGTTTCTCATATATCTGCAGGTGCGGAAAATTCATTTCCAAAGGTTTGATGAAGAAAATACCTTCATACTCCACTCATCGGGGCCCAACTGATACATCAGAAGGGCAAAATTCTGGGCAGAAATCAAACCCAGGTGAGCATCAGAACTGCACGTTATTTTCCAAATCAAACAAGATGTTAAAGCTACTTGGAGTCTACCAAACTGATGCAATTCTATCAGACCATAACCAGCCTGCTGTACAGCCTCTCAATACACCTGCCCACTCAGACAGTTGCTATTTAGTTGAGATATTTTTTTATATTATTTCTACCAAGGAAATAATTCTTTCAAGGTCCTCAGTACAATTTGATTCAGGGCAATTTGACCATAACGTGATAACACAAAGTCATTTCAAACCTAATTCAGAATCCCAGCAGCTACAAAAGTAGATTCATATATATATGAAACGTTGAAATACCTGCCTAACCCAATTATGACAAAGGAAGAAAAGGTTTTATGGGAATTCTAGTCCAGTATATCTGAAGCACCAAAGCTATGGTTGATTGAGTGAGTCTGGAAAGACAGGGCTCTGATAAATAGGTTGAGGGAGAAATCTCCA